GTACCTATTTCATAGGGTTGTAAGGATTAAATAAAATCCTTAATGTGGAAAATGTATAGCAATGCCTGACATACAAGATATTCAATAATGATGGCTGTGGTTATTAGCATTGTGTTTATAACGCAGCAGAGAGGTGGTACCCAGGTTTAGTCTGGCTAGAGGGTTGACCTAAAGAGGAGTGCAAAGTGGGAAGTGATCCACAGGCACTGCTATCCCTGACACTGGAGTTTTTGCAAAGTTATAATCCCTTCCCTGGATCTCAGGCTGAGATGTCGTCCAGACACTAGTGACTGCTAAGGACACTGATCTCCCTGACTGTGTTGGCCTGTCATTCTTGGGACTTGAGTAGAGTTGGGATTTTCCCAAAAAATGGTGCTAGGAGGTTAATGTGTGTGAGAAAAACCCCTCTAAAGAGCACTCCAAAACAAAGAAATGGTTCGGTTTACTGAACAGATTTCAGCTTGAGATAGCTGGAGCCCTGTCTCAGCCTGCTGTGGCCAGCATGGCATACTGGACATAATGTCTCCTATTGCAGCCTTAGCTGGAAGCTTTTCTTGTTTGCATGTTTGACCGACTACTGATACTCTCTGGTAGTTAGCTAAAGTTTTCTTTCTTTTCTTTTCTTTCTTTCTTTTTATCTACTTGTCAGAGAGAGCACAAGCAGGGGGAGCGGCAGGCCCCGCGCCAAGCAGGGAGCCCGATGCAGGACTCGATCCCAGGACCCTGGGATCATGACCTGAGCCAAAGGCAGATGTTTAACCGACTGAGCCACCCAGGTGTCCCTAAAGTATTCTTTCTTTGACCCAGCAAACATTAACCTGGGAAGGTGGGCAGTAGGCTTAACTGCTCAATAATCTAGTCCTAGCGTTGGGAAAGGAAAAGAGAGGAGCCCGAAGTTAATTTTTACCCTATTCCTATCTAACTTTTAAAAGTTGTAATTGAATAGAAGGTACTTTCGTACAGTTTAACCAGGGATGCAGGAATGGACCCTCATTTGTGGAAGATGAGTTTATGGTGGTGGTACATCTGAATTGGGACAAATGGGTGTGTGCTCCATCCACTTGATTCAAACCCTGGGGGAGGCAATTCCACACAGTTTTGAGCTCTAGTTGAATATTTGCATTCGAACCCAGAACTTTTGGGTTTTGATCTAACTGAAAAGTTAATATCAAAACTGACAAGATAGGGGCGCCTGGGTGGCTCAGTTGGTTAAGTGTCTGATTTGGCTCAGGATCCTGGCTCAGGTCGTGATCCCTCCCCGGGGTCCCGGCCAGGTGTCTGCTCAGCGGGGAGCCTGCTTCTCCTTCTCCTCCCTCTGCCCCTCCCACCCCCACTTGTGCTTGCCCACTCGCTGGCTCTCTGTCGCTTTCTCTCAAAATCTTAAAAATAAAATCTTAAAAAAAGAAAAAAAACTGACAGAAGACAAAGTCACCAAAAGTAGCCATTAAAACTAAGCTATTAGGGGCGCCTGGGTGGCTCAGTTGGTTAAGCGTCCACCTTCGGCTTAGGTCATGGTCCCCGGGTCCTGGGATGGAGCCCAAAAGGCTCAGGTCATGGTCGGACTCCCTGCTCAGCGGAGAGCCTGCTTCTCCCTCTCCCACTCCCCCTGCTTGTGTTTCTGCTCTATCTCTGTCAAATAAATAAATAAAATCTTAAAGAAAAACCCAAAAAACAAAACAAAACAAAAAACAAAAACTAAGCTAGTAAAACAAATAAGTAGTGGCAGGAAACCAGAGAGTTAATCAGTGAGATGGCATGAGGCCATATGGCAATAGAGTCTTTAAAAAATATTTTGTTTTAGGGGCGCCTGGGTGGCTCAGTTGGTTAAGCGACTGCCTTCGGCTCAGGTCATGATCCTGGAGTCCCGGGATCAAGTCCTGCATCGGGCTCCCTGCTTAGCAGGGAGTCTGCTTCTCCCTCCGGCCCTCCCCTCTCATGCTCTCTCTCAAACAAATAAATAAATCTTTAAAAAAAAAAAAGGCAAGAATATTAAAAAAAATAAAATAAAAAATATTTTGTTTTGTTTTTAAATTAGAGATCAGTTATGATTCCATTTCCCATAAAGTTTTGCTGACATTTTGCAGGAAAGCGTGTGTGTGTGTGTCTTTATATATGCAGACACATATATATTTCTCTCTCTCTCTATAGAGAGAGAGAGACACACACGCATATGTATGTGTAGAAAAAAAGTCACTACTAAATAAGATGAGTAAGAAGGAGGGTCAACTCTAATATCATCTCTGAGAATTAAGTACTTAAAATGGGAATTTAAGTGGTAAGTATTTCCAAGGTATGAATTGGCCACCACATATTTAACTCACTGATTTACAGTAACAGTACAGATGCTTGTGATGTCCCTGAGATCCTCATTCCATAGGTGGGACCCTAATGTCTATACTTTTCCGAAGCTCTGTAGTCAGGTTAGGAACTATTAATAAGGGGTCCTATGTGCCACACAGATGCTTAATGCTTACATAGTATCACAAGAAAATAAGAACCAGATGGAAGCCACAGGGAGGGGGCGGTGGGGAATCAACTGGGTAATCGTTTTCTTTTGAGATATTTTGGAACCAGATAGAGGTGGTGGTGGTACGACATCCTGTGTGAAGTGCCACTGAATTGTTCACCAAAATGGCTTATTTTATATGTGTGAATTTCACCACTGTGAACAACTGCAAAAATTTATTTGAACACTATCATTGTATACTGTGTATTGGAAAAATAAATTATTGCTGTTTAGATTGACTGTCTACCTTCTGAATATTATATTCTCTCAAGACTTTTAAATTAAGCATATTTGTTGTTGTTTATAAGATGCAGCTTATCAGTACTACCTTTTCGAAGCTGCTTCGTAATAGTTTCTCCTTAATTAAAACACCATCACTCCTTTATGATCACATACAGCTTCAGGTGGTGGCAGAAAGAACACTGTATTTGGAATTAGAACCCCTGGGTTGGAGGCCCAATTCTGCCCCATCAGCTGTGTGGCCTTGGGCACGGCACCTTGCTGAGACTCCATTTCCTAGTCTGTTTTTCTGTCTTCCTATCCCAAACTTGTTGGGGGATCCACTGAAATCATTTGTATCAGACACTTTTCTAATGGTAAATTATAGTGCTTCCACAGGTCACTGTTACGTAGTTATTGCTTTGTTTTTTTTACCTTGAATTCAGCAGAATCCAAAAGTAGATTAAGGAAGGTACTAGCAGACAGTTAATGAATTATTGGATTTATTATTAATGTGTTTTGACAGTCTATATAACTTATAGTATTAATCATTATATTATGAATCTCATAAGGCTAAGAATTAGTTATGTACAGATATTATTAAACGTTTGGAAGGATGATAGGGAGCTGAGATGATTTTTTGGGGGCAGGGCTTGTTCTTGGTCCTGAAACACATAAAGCAAATGAAGATTTTTCAGATTCCATGCTCATAGAGGTTCCATACTCACTTGTGACCAGTCTGAATTCGGTTAATGTCTGTAAATGAGAATAGCCACTGGTAGATGTATTTAGAATCTCCTTTGGGTTCCTTGTGTTTTTTCTTAGTTTAAACAAGCCCCTGGGCCTTGTTGCAAACTGACATTTTTGGCAGTAATGACTTGTGGCAGGCCTTTCTTGAGAAATGTAGTCTTGAGAAACTCCTGAAACATGCAGAGTCAAAACCCTGGGTGTATTGCTCACCAATAATGACTATAATAAATTAGAAATTTTATTTCAAACCACAATAATTATGGCTGATAGTATATATGCAAATGTTTGTTAATTTGCATGTTTCTCCTGTTAATGGGCAGATTTACCAACTGAAAGTGCATAAAACTGAACAATGTGTAATGAATATGGGGGACCTGGTGTGGCAGGTGTGTAAATACTTCTCACGGCATGTGAGCACCTTTTAGGTGAAAGGAAGATGGAAGACAATTGTTGAGTGTCTGTTTTGTGCTAGTTTAAAACTGTGTATTTAATCCCCACAATATGGCGCCTGGGTGGCTTAGTCCTTAGGTGTCTGCCTTCGGCTCAGGTCATGATCCTGGGGTCCTGGGATCGAGTCCTGCATCGGGCTCCCTGCTCCGCGGGAAGCCTGCTTCTCCCTCTCCCACTCCCCCTGCTTGTGTTCCCTCTCTCGCTGTGTCTCTCTCTGTCAAAAAAGAAAATAAAATCTTAAAAAAAAAAAAATCCCCACAATAGGAGTAAAAGCTAGGCATTTTATTTAGCTTAGCCAATAAAAGTATAGGCTCCACCACTAATTGGTTGTGTTGGCTGCTTGGATGGTGAGGATGTTGATGAAGACAAAGCCTAGGGGTTAATAGGCACTTCCCTAGGAGGGATGCCACCTCATTCCTTTGTACCAAGCTGCTTCCCAGCTATTAATGGCATATGGATAAGAAGAGAAAACAGACATTTATAGAGTGTGAACTAGAAGTACATTTTGGTACTTTTAAGTAATTATCATTTTACCTTAGTACACGGGATTGCAACATTTTTTTTTTTGCTCTAGTGCACCTGAGGGACTCACTAAGACAGTGGCAAACTAATGGCAAATATTTGTTGAGTGAAAATGGATTTTAGATAAAACGGACTACCCAGAAAATAGCCTCCATTGTGCTCCACTAAATACATTCACCGTATCACTGGATCAGCATATTGCATTATTTGAGGCCTGAATGAGATTTAAGGCAAGTGATAAAGTGAGGTTTGCTTTATGAAGCTGAGGCTCCCCTGGGGAATTGGGGTGGGGGTGGGGGGCGTTGTTCACCGGTAGCATCTGATGGCACTCTCCGAATGGAACACAAGTTTAAAGAAGAAACTGCTTGTGCACAGAGTTACAACTTTGACATGCCTTCCTTTTGTGTCCAGGAAAAACCCTATCGGAGGCTATGTTTCTCTGATCCAGGACAAGGGACCGTGGTGAAGATGTCGGCCCTCAACTGGAAGCCCTTTGTGTACGGAGGGCTGGCCTCCATTACAGCGGAATGCGGTAAGGAGCCCGAGGGGCCGACTCAGGTCACTTGCTTGCTGCTCGGGATGTCGGGATGTCGATGAGAAGTTAAGGTCGCTGTTTGGTGTTTGATGTGACTGTGGTTCAAGCACAGCACGTGAGAGCATGAAATGTTAATCTCAGATTTCAAAATTGCCTTCTTTTGGTATGTTTTTCCAACACAGAGTCATTTTGGCTGCCTAGCCGTTTAGAGTTCAAAGTTCAGTGTGGAGAAAGTGGAACCTGTTAATCAAACAGAAGGTTTATCAGTCATTTTTAGATCACATCTGTCCCTACGCTCCTTTGTCCTTTCCCCCACTTTGCCCCTGTTAGCGCCTGGGGCCGTAGAGAGTTGGGAGGAGCTCCCAGGTCCTCCCCTGCCCATTAGCCATACCTACCGTATTTGTGACTTCCTCCTCAGTGGAGTGCCACATCAGATCCCGGTTATCTTTGTCTATTTCCTGGCATAATTCACTCAACAAATCCTCACTGAGCAGCTGCCAAGTGCCAGGTGCCGGGCTGGACACGTCTTGTGCTTCCAGGGCTCGGTCACTGCTGTCCTGGGACAGGGGCTGCCCCTGAGGAGCCAGTGAGGAGCAGGGCTGAGGGGTGAAGGCGCGGGAACCACCCACCCACTTGGTTGCCCGTGTGGGTGGGCTCTCCCATTGCCACGGTGGATCAAGTGTGCTGACAGTGAGTGTTACATATTTGGGTGGACTCTCCGTGGGGCACTGGATTAAACATTTTTAGCTGCGTGAACAGATTTGCTTTTAGACTGCAGGACACAAAGTGAGACACTCCTTTGGAAAATGAACTTCTCTTTCTTTGTTCATATTGAACCTGATTTTAGCTTTCACAGATGCAAAGAACAGTAACATATTTTAAAATTTCCTGTTTGTGTAAATCATTCTGTGTACCTGTGTTTCACAGCAGTGCAGCCTCTCAGATCCTAGGTAGAGTAGGATGAGAACTACATAAAAACGTAAAGAAAGGAAAATAGGTTTATGCATCTCTGGGGTCTTTTTAATCTTTTGGTTCCTAATTTTTTTTAAATAGAGAAAAGATTGCAAAGTATCTGCTATTTTTTAATAACATTTCTTAGTTTACATTGTAGTTGAAATGTTTCCTCAGTGATAGATCACCATGTATCCTTTATTTAGTGGAATTTCTTCTTACCAAGTGAAATATTTCTTTTTAAAAAAATTTTAAGGTACTTTTCCAATTGACTTAACGAAGACACGGCTCCAGATTCAAGGCCAGACAAATGATGCAAACTTTAAAGAAATCAGATATCGAGGAATGTTGCATGCGTTAGTGCAGATAGGCAGAGAAGAAGGGCTGAAAGCTCTGTACTCAGGGTAAGTAGACCTTTGTGTTTTATTTGACTATTGACCTTCCAAATGAATAGACTGAAAACTAAGGCTTCATAGAGAAAAAGTAGAAATTTGAGATATATTTGAAAAGAGCAAGTAGTTTGCAGATTTTTCGTTTTTCATTTCAGCTTTATTTTCTATGTATCTTTTATGTAATGAGCGTTGTGGTGAAAGTATGTTTTTATTATATTCAAATATAGATAATAATGCAAAAATTACATTTGTTTCCAAAAAACATTCCATAATTCACTGGTGTTTCACTCTGGAAAAAGCCCTTCCCCTTGGCTATTCTGAATTACTGAGGTTTTTGCTGTAAGGAAAATGACAGAGTATCCTCTGTGGGTAAGGGCTGTGAACAACTTTTCTTGAATCCAACGTTGAGTGAACAGCGTGAGGGTGCGGGATGGGAAAGTGAGTATGGCAGGTGCCTACGTCAGCCCGAGTCCCCGCAGAAAACAGAACTCGCTGGGGTGGTTTCAGTGAGGAGACCTTAATGAAGGCACTGCTTAAGGGCCAGGGGAACAAAGGAGGGATATTGAGGTACCAAGAAACTATCCAGGTGAGAAGTTGGTACCAACCCTAGAACCAAGAGAACAAGGACGGGAATGGCGTTAGCAGAGCCTGTTAAGACTGGAGCCTTGAAGGAGCGAACAGTCGTTGTGGGGGGATGCTTTGGTAGTGCCCAGGGAGAGGAGGATCCCTCTTCCTCCTGCCTCCCTCCATCCCATCGTCTACTGGTGGAATCCACCTGGAAGTCAGCTGGCAGGGGAACCTGAATGACGTAATCCGTGGGCACCACCCTCTCGGCGCGCAGAGCATCACAGAGAAGGTTAAAAGACTGGATCTGGGCGGACAGATGGGGATCAGCAAGCAACACACGGTCGTGAAGGAGCTGTCATTTAGTGGGGACAGCAGACGTGGGAACGGGGGACACAGCGGCGTCTGATGATGAGTACTAGAATCTGGTGGAGGCAGGGCGTCAAGCCCAGAGTGTGGGGACAGGAAAGAGGGTGGGTTTCAGGAAGGCTGCTTGATGTAGGCAGCGCCCGGTCCGAGCTTGCAGGATCAAGAAGAGTGAGTTAGCCAGGTGAAGTTAGGAGGGAACTGTATATTTATACAGAGCCAGTAGAATGTGCAAGAAAGCACAGTACATTCTACGAACTGCAAGTAATTCGGCGTGGGTATAGCGTGGGGGCTGGTGAGCAGTAAGAGCTGGGGTTGCAGCCGTAATGAGGGGTCAGGACATGGACAGCCTCGGGACGGGCCAAGCATCCTGACCTCGTCCGCTACACCATTGGTCCCAAATCTGGGCCTCACAGCCCTCCCACCCACCCGTCACCAAAGGTTTTTGTTTTTCACTTGGGCCACTCTTTCAGCTATGAGAAATTGCACACACAAACCTGGGATTCCATTTTCTTGCAAAAAGTCAACATCTGGGCCCACATTCGTTCACTTAGGATAATAGGAGCAGGCATCAAGGAGGCCTTCTCTGGTTTCCTGAAACCTCAGCCTCTCACGCGGTGTATGTGTGTGCAGTTGGACCCAGCCTGCGTCAGTCACTTAAGGCCTCCGCCTGGCACCTGTAGGCTCTTGAGTTTGCTATGCCCGTGGCGGACCGAAGCTACTGGGGGGCTGTAAGTGCGAGACTGACAAGATAGGGTTTCCATGGTGAAGAGAAGCTGTCCTGTCGTGGGGAGACGGGATGAAAGACTGATGACACTGGAAACAGGCTGTCGCGCCAGGAGCAGGACCTGAACAGAGGTGCTGTGTTGGGGACAGAGAGAAAGAAGACAGGCTGTTTAGGGCGTAGGGTTGACGTATTATGGGACCTAACATATGAGGGGGTGTGGAGGAAGCAGGGGACAAGGCTAACGTCTCGATTTCTGGTTTGGGCCAAAGCGTAGATGGAGCTTCCATTCCCCGGTCTGGGAAACAGAGGCGAGCTGACTGGTTGGAACGGGAGGATAGTGAGTTCCGTGTGGGACTCTGGATCCGGAGGTGGGCTGGGGATAGGACATGCGCATTGAGAAATCTACCGAGCAGTTGGAAATGCATCGTTGCATCCGTGTTGGAAGCAGGAATTAGGCGTCCCGAGTCTCTGACAGTGGTGGAAGCATGGGAATGTGTGGAGAGTGGGGAGAGAAGGAAGCACGGGATGGAATTCTGGGGACCCCCCCAGATGACAGAAGGAGGAGGCTGTGGAGAAGAGGAAACAAACAGGAGAGGGGGATGTTACGGAGCTCAGGGAGGAGGTAGCTGCATGGAGGACAGAGGGTGGCCAGTAGCAAATACCACAGAGAGGTTGTGTAAGGTACTAAGTGGAACGCATCATTTAGTTTAGTGACAGAGTTGTCAGCGGGTCACCTCAACTGAGGCAGTTTTGATGGAGAGAGGGGGAGGGAAGGCAGACGGCATTTCGAGAAGAGGTGGGAAGTGCAGGAACAGCGGACATAACTGCCCCAGGGTGGCTCTGGTGTCCCGAAGGCTAAGAGAGGGAGAGGAAATGACGGAACAGCGCCTCCGACGAGGTGGGAGATGAGCTCCAGAGCAGCAGTGGAAGAATGCTAGATGCTTGCCGAGGGCAGATTTCACCGGGCGCTTTGTCCCGAGCAAGGAGAGCCTTTTCCCTTGAACACCGGTGAGCAAGTTAGAACTCCACATGCACTTAACTTTTCATTAAGGATAACTACAAGGGGTTGAGCTTTCACTTCGTGAACTAATAATTGGCACAAATTTAACTGAACCCAGCTATATTTTTGTTGGATCTTGAATTGTGAGAAATCTGGTTTAGCGTAGTTTGATTGTGGAAGGTACACGTGGTTGCGTGTGTGTGTGTGTGTGTGTGTGTGTCTTCTAGAGGGTTTAAAGTGATTTTTAGGATTTCTTTGTCCTTTTGTACGTTGGTTTGACAGGATTGCCCCTGCGATGTTACGCCAGGCTTCCTATGGCACTATCAAGATAGGCATTTACCAGAGCTTGAAGCGGCTGTTTGTTGAACACCCAGAAGGTGAGTGGGGAATCTCTTTTCCACTTGTGGACAGGAGGTGGGGGGGTTGTGTGTCTTTCTAGTCAAGGCGAGATCAGATTTTCTTGAGCCTGATTGTGACTTTACTACTGCTGAGAAGAACTCTGGATGTAAAGTCTGAATGAATGGTGCTTAAAGCACATCGTTCTTAGCTGAAGTGACAGTTAAAAGAGCAATCTTAACAACTTTTTAGTTATCCTCATCTCCAAAACACCCAGACTAGAGGGTGTGTTATTGTAGTTCGAGCCAACTTAAAAATTCTAAAATCAGGAATTATAACCTGTTTTTCAGGAAAGCAGTGAATACCCTTCTTAGTATTAAGAACTGAATTCTAATACTCTATTGCTAGTTGACTCTGTGACTTTGCTTTAATCCGTAGAACTTTTTTTTTTACAATGGGATGAGCACTAGTCAGCTGTTATGTGAGAGTGGTCAACAGGAGGAGCTAAGATGCTTTAGCACTTCAGTATATTTCACATTAAATAAATACAGTGTGCTTTAAAACTTTTATCTTCTCGGTATCTCCTAGGAGTGTATCTTTTTTTTCTTTTTTAAGATTTATTTATTTGAGAGAGCGAGCATGCACACGCATGAGTGGGGGGAAGGACAGGTAGAAAGAATCTCAAGCAGACTCCCCGCTGAACATGGACCCTGACATGGGCTCGATCCCAGGACCTTTAGATCATAACCTGAGCCAAAATCAAGAGTTGGACGCTTAACCAAACTGAGCCACCTAGGGGCCCCGGGAGTGTATCTTTTTTATTCTCCTGTGGGATATGCCTCCTCGTAATTACTACAGTGGTCTGCATTTACACACACAAAAGTGAATTGGTACATAGTTGTTCACTTTGCATGATAATTCACATTCCTTTCTTGGATATCAAGTCATTTTGCTAGGCAAAATCCTGTTAAGCCAGCAAAATTCCTGATATTTTAAAAATTGCTTGATTCAGGGCTGCCTAGCTGGCTCAGTCAGTAGAACATGCGACTCTTGATCTTAGGGTCATAAGTTCAAGACCTGTATTGGGTATAGAGATTACTTAAAAAAAAAAAAATCTTTAAAAAATTGCTTTATTCATAAAATAGAAATTTTACTATTCTCTGAAGATGTACAAGTGGCATGTACGAGTTACACCTATATTTGAGCGACTGATATGAAGAGCTCTGTGTATACGAAAAGTTGAATAATATGTGTTTGTTTATAGATGAAACTCTACTGATAAATGTGGTGTGTGGAATTCTCTCTGGAGTTGTATCCTCAACCATCGCTAATCCAACTGATGTTTTGAAAGTAAGCAGTACGATCCATATCTTATAGGCATACCCCACATTTTCTTACTGAGAACAACATTCAGATAATGAAAAGCTGCAAATATAACATACACTATATGTGTGAACTTGTTTATGATTTAAGTGCCATGAAGACTCTAACTTAGAAACATCCACTGGATGGATTTCCCGCTGATACGGAGGAACTCCAAAGTAGAGCTCATTGTGGAGACAAGGTTTTTGGCGATTAAGCAGAAAAAAAATTTGGGCTTGGATACATTTGAATTTAATTTTTCATTGAAAATCTTCCAGGTTTTATTGGTTCATTAAAAATGGATGGGCTGCAAGTTCTACACAAATCTGTTCACTCATGATCATTTCTGAACATGTGATGTTATCTGTTAACTTGATTTTAGGAAATACCAATGGAAATATTTCCTTACCACAGTTAGACATATCGCATTGGATGACCTTTTTGCCGATACCAGAGATACGGCCTCCTTAGATCCTTTCTGGAAAAAGATAAGGAAATAAACTAATTAAACAAAATAGAAATTAGGCAGGACTTACTTTTTCTTTTCTTTTTTTAATTTTTATTTATTTGAGGGAGAGAGAATGAGAGAGAGAGAGAGAGCATGAGCAGTGGGGAGAGGGAGAAGCAGACTCCCAGCTGAGCAGGGAGCCTGATGCGGGGCTCAGTCCCAGGACTCGGGATCATGACCTGAGCCGAAGGCAGATGCTTAACCGACTGAGCCACCCAGGCACCCAGGATTTGCTTTTTCAATGCTCTGAGGATGTTTGTCTCTGTCCCTCCCTCTCCTTATTTGTTCCTATTAGTTAACCAGTGTTCACTGCTTCTACCTTCTACCAGTTGATGTACTACATGCTTAGAATCCAAAAATGAGTAAGATAAGGACCCTGCCCTCAGAGCCTTCACTCTAATAGGAGATTGTGACAAACATCAGCGGTATGTGGAGCACACTACACCTCTGCACAGTGAAGGTGCAGCACATGTGAAGGTGCTTTTGCTAGGATTTTGTTGGGGAAAAGTGGAGAAAAATATCCATATGCCTCTTAATACCTTAAACATTTGTCGGGGCTTCATAGAAAGGCAGTTCCTGTAGTTTGGTTTATTTTCCCATGTTAGCATGGCAGTAACACTGTCTTTTAGAAGTTAGAGATAATTGCTTTCTAAACAAAAATAAGGTACCAATTTTTAGTGAGAAAACCCTTTAAAAAATGTAGAGAGCTACATCAAACATTATTTTTATGTTGGAATCTCGGTCATATGAATTCCACAGCCGTTGTCAAGTTTATTTGTAAGTTCAAGTGTAACAGACTGTGACGGGCATCATGTGGTCATCTCGTGCTCAGCTCGCCTGCATACCTTTGGGTTCAGCTGGTTGGAAATAGTAGTGGCTTGAAGTAACTACTTTAAGAAATATGCTTGTCCATGCTTAGTGCTGCCAAGTGTGCTGGATACTCTTTATCAATTATGTGAAATCTCAGGATACCATCACATTCTCTTTTCCTGTTCAGTAACTTACAAGGAAATATGTCATTTTCTTTCCTTTTCAAAAGACTACTTTTAAAAATCCATCTTTTGATTCCAAAGTGCCTCAGAACCAATCCTTATGAATGTTAAATCCTTATAAATCCTACAAAGGGCGTTTTAAACTAGCATTACAGTCCTGTTTATACTGCGAGTCTTTCAGTGGTTAGTAAACAACAGATTGAATGATTTTCCGAAGTCTACATTTGGAGAGAAATGTGCTTTCCTTCTCATGTTCATCTTTAAAATAACCTCTAGATACGGATGCAAGCACAAAGCAGCACCTTTCAAGGTGGAATGATAGGCAACTTCATTAACATTTACCAGCAAGAGGGAGCAAGGGGACTGTGGAAGGTAAGTCCGCAAAACAGAGCCAACTTCCTTACTTAGTTCTTCCCCGTTTTCCTTCTTTGAATTTATTTTTCCTATTTCCATCCTCTTATTTAATCCGAATGTCAAAATGGTGTACGGGAAGAAGAGTGACGTCCACCCTCGAAGTTTCTTTCTTAATTTCATTACCTGTGAAATGGGAATACAAAGAATATGTCATAGTTTTAAAGTGCCTTTTGACTAATTCATGCATAAGAAAATCTGTGAAGATTGAGCACTTTTTCGTTTGTTTACTTGAAAAAAAGGGGAAGGGTTTTCTAGGTTATAGTTATGCTGGATTTTTTGATCTGTGGGGTTTCCTGGTCCTTAAGTGAAGACCTTTAATAGGCAGGCGCTGGTATGGAGTGCTGTTCCCTGGTAATCTAGTCACCTGTCAGTTCACAGAATAGACCCTAAAGGTCATCCAGCAGAGTGCTCTCAGTATGTACTAGGAAACCAGAGCCTCTGTGAGGCGACTTGGCCTGGCCAGGGTCTGGCCAAGGTCATACAGTTAGTGCCAGATCAGAACTGGGCATGGGAGCTTCTGAGTTCTTTACCCTCTGGTCTTTTCTACTCTGTCACTCTGTAGTTTTTTTCAAGGCCTGTTCCGTGGAGAGCTGTCTGAATCTTGGTTATTCGTATTTTTACCCAGGGCGTGTCCCTTACGGCCCAGAGGGCTGCCATCGTTGTCGGCGTGGAGCTTCCGGTCTATGACCTCACCAAGAAGCATCTGATTCTCTCGGGCCTAATGGGAGACACTGTGTATACCCACTTGCTGTATGTTTAGAGATTTTAAAAAAATGATATTTTAGGGATACATGAGTTCAGGGTGGCAATTTGCTATAAATATATAGAAATTTTAAAGTTTTATTATAAAAGTATTCTCATATTTGAAAAATTACAATTCAGAAGTGAACCAAGAAAAAGTAAAAGTCCTTATCTGTTTACATAGGTAACCATGGTCAACAGCTTGGTTTTTAGGCACATGCAAATATGTCTATAAACGTATATTATGTGTACATGTTACACAAGCAAGATCATGCTTAACATTCTCTTACTTTTTATTTATATTATTTCAATTTTTTAGCTTTATTGAGGTATAACTGACAAACTTGTGAGCTATTTAAAGCGTATGACATATGATTTGATACGCATACACAATGTGAAAGGATCTGCCCCCCCAAGTTCATTAACATATCCATTACCTCGCATATTTATCCTTTTGTGTGTGTGTGTGAAAACATTTAACTTGTACTCTCTTAGCAAATTTCAGTTATATGATAGTGTTATCAGCTATAGTCACCCTGTTATATGTTAAATCCTCAGACCTTGTTCATTTTATTTTATTTATTTATTTATTTATTTATTTTTTAAAGATTTTATTTATTTATTTGAGAGAGCGAGAATGAGAGAGAGAGCACATGAGGGGGGGAGGGTCAGAGGGAGAAGCAGACTCCCTGCTGAGCAGGGAGCCTGATGTGGGACTCGATCCCGGGACTCTAGGATCATGACCCGAGCTGAAGGCAGTCGCTTAACCAACTAAGCCACCCAGGCGCCCAGACCTTGTTCATTTTAGAGCTGAAGGTTTATGCCCCTTTACCAACCTCTTCCGATTTCCCCCATCCCTCACCCCCTGCAACACTCTTCTGCTCTGTTTCTACGGGTTCTGTTTTTTGTTTATAGATTCCACATATAAGTGGTACCATGCAGTATTTGCTGTTCTTACTTGCTTTTTTAAATTTAATAATATATTCCAAATATCTTTCCATGTCAGTACAAACAAATTTCATGTATTTTTAAATAGCTGCGGGTTAATATGGATGTATCATGGTTTCATCCACTGAGGCGTGATTTTGCCCCTCAAGGGACCTTTGGCAATTTCTGGAGACTCTTCTGATTGTTAGGATTGGGGAGTACTGTTGGCACCTGCTGGGTGGAGGCCAGCAGCTTACAGTGCACAGGTCAGCCCCCCACAACAGAGACTTGCCTGGTCCCAAAATATTAGGAGTGTGGAAGTTGAGAAACCCTGCCCGGAGCTGATTGATACCAAGTGTGGTCTTAGTCTTGTGAGACTGAAAGTTTCGTAGACCCGGAGACCCCTGGGGGGCATTACAGTGAGACATCTTTTTCTCTGCTCTCCAAGAGTGGTACGGTTGTGATGGGGCTAAAATTACTCTGAGTCCTGCTTATAGCAAATAGATGCAATAGATCGTCGTTGGAGGACATTCCTTCATGTTTCTATGATTCTTTGACATTCTGGAACCTCAAAGGTATTCTTAGTCGGGGCCGGAATTTGTAAGCCACTGTAATGAGTGCCATATTTAAGAAGTTTGTGCAGCGCTCTAGTGATGGACCTTCTCCTGGAACCCTTTCCTCTTGTTACATGTCACTTTGGCGTCATTTGGGAGGAGGCTGCTTCCTGCTTCTGATGGTGGTGGTTGCGGCTCAGTGGTGGCAAACTGTTTGTTTTTCCCTTGGTATCTTTTTTCATAGCTCAAGCTTCACCTGTGGTCTGGCTGGGGCGCTGGCCTCCAACCCCGTCGATGTTGTGAGGACACGGATGATGAATCAGAGAGTCCTTCGGGACGGCAGGTGTTCTGGCTACACAGGTACCCTGGACTGCTTGTTACAGGTGAGCGTGGATGTGCCCCTGGGCAGGGTCCTGAGGTCCTTTCCCAGCTCCTTAGTTTACTTGTCCCCCCCGAAGAGTTTTCTTATCACGAAAAACACAAGGGGTAGAGCAAGACAAACCTGTGGGTTTGTCACTTGTGATTGTGTCACTTTGGTCAAGGTACAGATTCTATACCTCAGTTTCCTCGTAAGTGAAATGGGACAATAATAGCACGTATGTCATAGAGTTATTGTAAAAAATTGAGATGCCTACAAAACAGTGTAGTGCTTGGATTCATGTGTAGTAAGCCTTGTTAGTATAATTAATAATAATAAGGGACACTTATGAAATAAGCAAATTTATTTTACTTAATCTTCAATATTCTAGTGGTTTGTTTCAGTCATTGAAACTGCCCCCCAAATATGTGTGTGTGTGTGTGTGTGTGTGTGTGTGTGTGTGTGTGTGTGTGTGTGAATATAGACATATTCACACGCACACTTATTTGTATACATCTATTTAACCGGAGAAGTAACTAAATTTTGAGGGCTATTATAACGAACATGAATGATGCTCTAAAGCCCTGGGATAGTACCCATTTTGGGCCACATTGGGGCTAACTTTGATAAATACAGAATCTAGATGAATCTTTAGAAATGAAAGTGTATTTCCTTTATACCGTGGCTCTGCTGTAAAGGTAGAGAAAATAGTCAGATTTTCTGCCATTCAGTGGAGCTGTGTCTCCTTCCAAAGTGTATCTCCCTCCTCCCAAGTCCTACTGGAACGAATCTCATTCATTCGGACGTCTCTCAGAAGAACACATCACTTTTACTGTAATTTTCAGTTTAAACAGTGGGGCCTCCTGTTCATGAGGGGATGCAAGTCCGCAGCTGTCTCCCCGACTAGATTGCCGGCAGCCGAGGATCCGGGCCCCCTTTGCTGTTCCTGCCCTCTGGCGTGATGCTGGCACAGCCTAGATTTCAGGGGCTGCTTCAGCGGAGCAGAGATGCATGTTTTTCCACCCAGTGACGTGAAGTAGCGGTGGCCCGAATTAGGTCTTTACCACCACTGCTTCCCTTCTTTATTTCCCACCTGCTTGGGAGTGCATGGGGCCGGGAGGCAAGAGACGCCAGTTGGGAGGCAGTCTCACTTCTCGCTCCTCCAGCGGCCGTCTGCCTGCTTGGGCATGGGCTGGTTTGACGCGGAGCCTTTGGCTTCTCCCATGCAGAATCCGTTAAAGAACAAAAAGAGGCAGAGGGCAGTGAGGTTTTAAAGTCTTTTCAAACAGGATTTTATTTTTAAGAAAAATAGATCGTTCAGTCTGGCTACTAATGAATTATGAACGCATTTGACCTAATTGGAAAGTTGGAAGTTAACTTGTCCCCCTCCCCCCCCCCCACCGTAGACATGGAAGAATGAAGGGTTTTTTGCTCTGTATAAAGGATTTTGGCCAAATTGGTTGAGACTTGGTCCTTGGAATATCATTGTATCCTTTTTTGTCGCAGTACATCTGAAAAAAGATGTAGCTAAAAGAAGATTGTATAAACTGTCATATTATTAATGATAATTTAGAAGTGGCTTTTTGTTCTTTTGAGTTCCTCTGATTCTAAGAAATAATGATTCAGTTTCTATCTCAGCGGGTATAAAATCTCTGTGCTGGGCTATATGACTCTTGGTTTAGTGCTGGTGTTATTGAAAGGGACTGACATCAATACAGATTTCTATTCAGACTCAGTTTTCGAAGCTGAGAATACTTACGAGTAGAGAGAGAGACAGGGATTGATTTGATATCCCTAGCCACCCTTGGGAAAGATGCGGTTTGGCAGCAGTATTCTAGAATGCTTATTTTAGAGAGTGCCTGCAGATAAACAGGAATTAGCTCCTGAGTTATTGGGCCGATTAGCACAGTTTCCTGTATGCCAAAGTGGTGGGGAGGAAAGAAGCGACGGTTCACTAGACACGGAAGGGCAGAATTATCAAGAAGGGAATGTGGTTTTCACCATCCCCGTTTCTCTTTATCTGCCCCTCCCCGCTGCTGAAGGCCTGCCTCACCGTGACCCTTGGGGAGAGCTTCCCAGGGCTTGCTGTCTTTCTGTTTCACACAGAATTCACTGTTCTGGAAAGTCTGCCCACCACAGCGGTCGCCAGAGCTATTCAGGGGGGATGTCATCTTCGAAGAGGCTCTGGGAGCTGATGTGAGGGGACTTAGAGATCTCCGCTGTGGTGGTTCTGTTCCAGGCTGACCTTGGGAAGGCTAATGGGAAGATCTTTTGAGGTGGGTAAGGATGGAGCCCCTCATGTTCAATCCTGTCCAAGGCACGTGGTCTGCCCAGACATATCTGTTAAATGTGCTGTCTGTGAGTCTGTTTTTATGTGTCCATGTTGTTAAGACAGCATCTTCTTTGTCAGCCTTAACCAGTAACTGCAGTTCTTTGTGACATATGAGCAGTTGAAGAAACTGGATTTGTGACAAGTCAAGGCTGCCTGAGACAGCGCTCTGCAAACGCTCCCTTTCCGAAACAATAAAGCTTCCTGCGTGTCACGCTGCTTCTCACTGCTTGGTTCATCACAGATTCTGAAGCGTGAGCAACAGATGAAGATGGGGTTAGTTCTGGTTGCTGTGTGTGGTCAGCTGTGCCTCAGATGTTTCATGCTAGAAACGAACATCCGAACACTAGTCCTTACCATGCAAGTGCCCTTCGACTCCACGACCACATGTGGAACGCATGTTTCTTGCTAAAGAAAACTTGCGAGGAGATCAGGAACTGTGTGTCGTTTTCTTCAGGGGAGAGGAGCCCCTGTTGTGTCTCAGCTCACAGCTGAGAATGCCGGACTGCTCTGGAGAAGCTCATAGGAGCCATGGATTGGAGCCTCCAAGAGGGTGTTATTGTTCCTGAACTTGTGGGGACTGTCACTTCTTGTCAGCTGAAGAAATTTCACAACCTTTCAACTTCAGGTGTAAACAGTGCAGGAAATAGATCCTTGGAATACTGCACTGCTTTATAATTTCCGATTTTGGCAGGATCCTTCACTTACAG